GAGACAGGGTCTCCCTGTAGCCCCAGCTGTCCTGGAACTCACTATGTAGACCAGGCTGACCTTGAACTCACAGAGATCTGCCTGCCTCCCAAGTGCTGGGACTAAAGGTGTGTGCACACAAAGTTTTTGGAAGAAAGGAACCCCTGCTGGGCATGGTGGCACACACCTTTAATCCTAGCACTCAGGAGGCAGAAGCAGGATAATCTTTGTGAGTTCAAGGCCAGCTTGGTCTACATAGTAAGTTCCAGGCCAGCTGGGGCTACAGGGAGACCCTGTCTCAAAAAGTCCAAAAAAAAGAGAAAGGAACCCACCTCATTCTTTGTGCACATGTGTATACACATATTCACATGTACATGGGTGCATGTGTGCAAGAGCATGTATACATGCATGTAGAGGCCAGAGGTTGATGATAGGCGTTTTCCTCAGCTACTCTGTGCTTTATTTACTGAAGCAGGGTTTCTTACTGAACCCAGAGTTTGCTGACTTGGCTAGGCTAGCTATTCAGCTTCCTGGGGATTCCTGTCTCTGCCTCCTGAGTGCTGGGATTACAAGTGGGTGCTGGGGATCCAAATTCCAGTGTTTACATGGCTCCCCAGTCCCCTCATGTTCTTTTTAAAGCTTAGGTAATTTAAGAGGTGAAATCATTTCCTGGTTACTTTTTGATACACCAGGAAACAGTGGGACATTGAGTTATGGGAGGATTCAACTGTCTTGGGTATTAGTGTAATAGTCCATAGGTGGGGGATAGTTCTATATCCTACAATATAAAACATACGAAATGGCAATTTGGAGTTACAGACATGAATTTAATGTGTCTTGAATGTTATATTTCATTTATTTTAAAAGCTTTTATTTGTGGGCTGGAGAGCTGGCTCAGCAGTAAAGAGCACTGGTTGCTCCTGCAGAGTGTGTTGCCTGCATGCAGGTGCCCGAGGGGATCAAAAGAGGGTGTCAGATCCCCTAGAAATGGAGTTACAGACAGTTTTTAGCCACCATATGGATGCTAGGAATCAAACCTGGGTCCTCTGCAAGAGCAGCCAGTGCTCTTAACCACAGAACCATCTCTCAAGCCCTTATTTTTATTTTTAATTATGTGTATATATGAGTGTTTGTATGTGGGTATGTGTACATGAGTGCAGGTACCCTCAGAGGCCAGAAGAGGGCATCAGATCCCTGGAGCTGGGGTTACTATCAATTGTGAGCCACCCAAAGTGGGTGCTGGTAATCAAACTTAGGTCCTCTGCAAGAGCAGTATTAGTTCTCAACCATCAAGCCATCTCTCCAGCCCCTTGACTATTTGGGGGGGGGCTCTTTTTGAGACAGGGTCTCCCTGTAGCCCCAGCTGGCCTGGATCTCACTATGTAGAACAGACTAGGCTGGCCTTGTCTGCCTGCTTCTGCCTTCCAAGTGCTGGGACTAAAGGCATGCACCACCACACCCAGCTGCCCCTTGACTATTGAAAATTATTTCCACACTGGGCGTGGTGGCACATGCTTTTAATCCCAGCACTTGGGAGGCAGAGGCAGGTGGATCTCTGTGACTTCAAGGCCAGCCTGGTTTCCATGGTGAATCCAGGCCAGCTGGGGCTACAGGGAGACCCTCTCTCAGAAAAACCGAAAAAGAAAAAAAGAAAATTATTTCCAGTCCTGTATCGTTAGTAGAAATGTTTCCTAAAGAAAACTACTCCTTAATCATTGGCCTGCCAGAAGTGGGGTCCTTCAAGAATATCTCTGGTCATGGTGGTCAAGTTTTCCTAATAATTTTTATAATGTGCTGTGGAAGGTACAAACGAGTATGTGGTGAAAATTATATAGAATTGTGAGCCAGTGGGATTTACATAAAGATTATCAGCATTTGAAGATATTGGTATATGAGCTCTTCCTTTTTCCCCCTCTTTTTGTGTGTGTATATACTGTGTGAGTATATGTTGTATATGTGCATGTGTGACTGTATGTGCCTAAGCATGTGCATGAAGGCCAGAGGAGGACATCAAGTGTCCTGCTGTATCAGTCTTCACCTTATTCCTTTGAGACAGGATCTCTCACTGAACTTGGTGCTAGGCTGGTAACCAGCAAGGCACAATGATCCTCCTGTCACTGCCCAGCACAGGGCTGGGGTGAACTGCACCTGTGCCGCCACACCCAGCTTTTCTTCTGTGTTGTGGATACAGACTCGGGTCCTTGTACATGCAGTGCAAAATCTCCCCAGCCCAGCCCACACGAGAGCCCCTTAAGGAAAATTTGCCTCCAAGGCTGAAGCTGAAACATGAATGGAGTAAATATTTTAAAAAAGAACTACAATACGTGGCCTTTTAGATTTTTTAGCAAGTGTGTTAAGACTGTGCACGAGGGCTGGAGAGATGGCTCAGCAGTTAAGAACACTGGTTGTTCTTGCAGAAGACCTGGGTTCAAATCCCAGCACCCACATGGCAGCTAACAACTGTCTGTAACTCCAGTTCCAGGGGATCTGACAGCCTCTTCTGTTCTCCTCGGGCATTGCACAACATGGGTGCACTTGCCTGCACTCAAGCAATGCATGCATACACATAAAATAAAAATAATAAATAAATTTTTTGGTCTTTTTGAGACAGGGTCTCCCTGTAGTCCCAGCTAACCTGAGCTCACTATGTAGACCAGGCTGGCCTTGAACTCACAAATATCCGCCTGCCTCTGCCTCCCAAGTGCTGGGACTAAAGGCGAGCACTACCACGCCTGGCAAATAAAATACTTTTAAAAAGATTGTGCATGACAGCCAGGTGTGGTGGCACATGCCTGTAGTCCCAGCACTTGGGAGGCAGAGGCAGGTGAATCTCTGTGAGTTCAAGGCCAGCCTGGTCTACATAGTGAGTTCCAGGACAGCTGGGGCTGCAGG